GGCACCTGAACGGCACGGCGCGACGGCGCGCAGGCCCGGCACGGCACCAGCACCGCGTTCTGCTGCTTGGCCCCTGCCCCGGCGCGGCCCTGCCTCACGGCAGGGCGCGGCACCTGGCATGGCACGGCGGCGCGGCACAGCGGTGACGCCCAGAGCGCATGCTGACCAGTGGGCAAACGGCGCGGCACGGCACAAATGCACAGCTCGGCTCCACGGCACGGCGCCAGAAGCACATGCTGGAACTTGGGCCCAGCACCGCACGGCACGGCCCGGCATGGCTCGACGGCGCGGCGCCGAAGTCCAAGTCTGGAAAGGAGGCATGGCACGTGTCGGCGCCACGGCACGGCGCGGCACCGAGATCGCGTTCTGGAAAGTTGGCCCGGCACGCTACGGCACATCGCAGTCTGGAAAGAAGGCACGGCACGGCACCGCCCCACGATCGTGCGGCACATGTTTCGGACGTTGGGTGCCAGAGCGGCTTCACTTCTCAAGGGGCATGATACACCCAACACATTCGCTGCATGACAAAACATTGTTGCATTATATAGTGCATCGCGTCGTTGCTCCTTTTTTTATGTGTGCATGTGTTAACGGTGTGGGTTGCGTTGTTGCTTATATATGACGTCTTGACTGACTGATTTCGGTCGGAAATTCGAAGGTGAGATGAAGGAGGAGACAGATGGGAAAAACGAGGGAGAGAAGCAGCTGGAGGTATCGTCTCCAGACGATTGAAATGCAAACGGAATTACCTTGAGTCCAATTCAAGCCTGTGAGTGCTCACGGAAAACAACATGCGTGCAGCTTATTGGGGTGCACATCGTTGGCCTATGGTTCAAAATTTTGGAACCATTGACACAGAAAATAATTTAGCCCAATTGATCACTCCCAGAGTTGAAAACAAGTTTGCTACTTCCGATCCGATGGATAGCGCCAGCCCTTGCCGTCTAAGTTGCGGTTTTTGCATGGGAGCCTTCACCAGGAACAATGTGATGCTAATTTGCCTTACTGCTTTTCCGTGACCCTCCCGTTGTTTGAGGGGTCATGCCGACTAGTTCCACGCCACTTAAGTGACAAAACCGCTTAATTATTCTGCGGTTTGGGAACTTCCGGGCTGGACTTCAAAATGGTGCGTAAGTTAGTTCTTATCTAGGAACCCCTGCCTCCGCACGATCATCATTGTGCTGTTGCTGATCGCTAACGTTATCTGGTCAAAGCACCTCCCCTTTTTTCATCCTCCACCTCTTGCTTCTGCTGATCATCATCATGATTCCGATGCTGCTCCTCTATGCCTGACAGGTGCTGCTGTTATCTTCCTTCCTTTCCAGATGCTGTTGCTTCCCCTCTTCACCCTGCTGGGAGAGAAGCATTCGGAGCAGGAGGAGGTGAGGTGCGGAGGGGGAGGAGCAATAGCGATAGGACGCGGATGAC